AAACATTTGAGAACAAGGCTGTTTGACTTCCAAGTTACAACTCTACTGGTCTAAGGCCGTTTAGGGCTTTAAAGGTCAGCACCAACACTTTGAATTGTGCTCGGAAATGTACCGGGAGCCTTTCAGGACCGGTGTTATATGGTCTCGGAGGCCAGTCCCAGTCACCAGTCTAGCTGCTGCATTCTGGATTAATCGTGGTTTCTGAGACACATTCAAAGGTCGCCCCATGCAAAGTGCATTGCAGTAGTCCAAGCAGGAGATAACTAGAGCATGCACCACTCTGGCAAGACAGTGAACAAGCAGGTAGGGTCTTGGCTGGTGTACCAGATGGAGCTGGTCAACAGCTGCGCTGGACACAAACTTCTCAAACAAGGCATTTCATTAACGGCCTTAAAAACAGTTGGTCTCTCATCCTCCTGCAAGGAAGTGTCCAGTCTCATTGACCATTCCACCCATGGCTGCTTTCATCAGAGAGGATGGGCAAGAGTCAGGGACACAAAGCAATCAGCCATGCAAGTATCTCGCCCACATTTGCAGACCGAAGGAGCTGGGAAGTATCCGTAACAAAGACCCACAAAGATGGAAGGACACATCACCATCACCAGCAATTGAAGAATGACTATTAAAACTAACAGACTTGGCTGAGATGGCGAAACTGACATGTGTAATCAGAGAAAAGTCATTTGTTAAAGATTGGAAACCTCTCATAGACTTTTGGCACGAGAAAGAAAATGAAATAATGACATTTGGATTTGCGGATTGAAGATAATGTTTGTCTATATAAAGTGGTTTTGTGGGGTTTTATATGGGATTGGACGACGTGAATACTGTGTTGTTTTTATATAGCAGACAGATGAAGAATCAGAAGTTCTTTACTTTCTGAATCTTACATTTCTATCTTTCTCTTTTAATCTCTTTTCTATTGTTTTCATTACAGTCAAACCTCGGTTCCTGAACGCCTCAGTTTTGGAACGTTTCAGCTCCCGAACACTGAAAACCCAGAAGTACCGTATTTTTCGCTCTATAGGATGCACCGGACCATAGGACGCACCTTGTTTTAGAGGGGGAGAACAAGAGAAAAAATTCTCCCCCTCTCTGCTCAGCTCCCCTTCAGCGAAGCGGCAGGAGAAAAGGAGACCCTTCCATTTCTCTTCCCGCTTGGCTGAAGGGGCGCTGCGCAGCTCTCCCTCTCTGCTGAAGCCAGGAGAGTCTTGTTCTCCTGGCTTCAGCGAAAGGAACCTGAAGCCTATGGAGCGCAGCAGGAACTTGCGCTGCGCTCTGAAGGCTTCAGGCAGCTATCCCTGAAGCCTGGAGAGGGAGAAGGGTCGGTGCACTCCAGGCTTCAACAAAAGCAACGCGAAGCCTCCGGAGCGCGGAGGGAGCACTCCCTCTGCGCTTCGGAGGCTTCACGTTGCTATCGCTGAAGCCAAGGAGCCTGCATTCGCTCCATAGGACGCACACACATTTCCCCTTAATTTTTGGAGGGGGAAAAGTGCGTCATATGGAGCGAAAAATACGGTGTCTTCCGGAATGGATTAAGTTCAAAAACCGAGGTACCACTATATTATTATTTCTTCTTTCTTTCTTTCTTTCTTTCTTTCTTTCTTTCTTTCTTTCTTTCTTTCCTCTCCCCTTTTTGGGTTTCTATAGTATCTATATAAAAGTCTTGGTTTGGTTAAAAAACAGGAAAAGATATCAAGTTTTGTATTTTTCTCTATAATCCTTAATAAAATTTATTTTTTAACAAAGAAAGTATCCGTAACAGAACAAGCAGGCCCCTCAGGCACATTAACTGGCTCCAGAAATCATCCTGAACTAGAATGTATGGGAAGTGATTTTATCTGCATTGTGTTTTGCAAAGCTGTCACGCTGGAGCTTCAAGAGCTCCTCTGCACCTCCATGAACACTAAGAGGTGACCATTTATGTCTAGGTGGTCTTAGCTGTTTTGCTATGGACATCTGCTCTGTTAACTGCAGGTGTTGGCAGGTGAGCTGGGCTTGCACAGATGCTGATTTGTGGAGCTATGCAAGTTTCACTGCAGCAACACAATTAGGCCCTGGCAGGCTGGCCAGGTCTATTGGATTAGTTCCCAGCAGATTTGTTCCTGAAACAACAAGCCACATGCATGGAAGGGGCTCGCTTATGGAACAGATGTTTGGTTCTGTGGGGAGGCAGAAAAGCTGAGGAAGTTTAGGAAGGGAGACCTTAGCCCAAAAGGCTGAGAAGCAATGGACTAAGCTTATCTTGGTTTCCATTCCACTACAAATCAACATTATTCTCTGTTTACATTTACTTTGGGAAGCTGAGAAAGGTCTCTTTCCACCCCATGGTCAGTTTGCATTTCTTGGTGCAGAAAGTACCACTCTGATGTGTAGAGATCTTTCCTATTCTAATTAATTCAAGAGAGTTCTGGAAGCTTCTCTGTGTGAAAGAAGCAAGCAGAAGGTTTACGTGCGCTGCTCTGGTTCGTCAGAAGCGGCTTAGTCCTGCTGGCCACATGACCCAGAAACTGTACGCTGGCTGCCTCGGCCAATAAAGCAAGATGAGTGCAGCAACCCCAGAGTCGGCCACGACTGGACCTAATGGTCAGGGGTCCCTTTACCTTTAGCAGTTCAAAAGCACGTTAAGTGCAAGTAGATAAATAGGTACCACTCCGGCGGGAAGGTAAACGGCGTTTCCATGTGCTGCTCTGGTTCTTCAGAAGCGGCTTAGTCATCCTGGCCACATGACCCAGAAGCTGTCTGCGCACAAACACCAGCTCTTTCTGCCTATAGAGTGAGATGAGCATGCAACCCCAGAGTCGTCTGCAACTGGACCTAACAGTTGGGGTACCTTTACCTTTAAGGTTTTAGACTTATTATAAGTTATTGTAAGCTTAAGTTAAGTCTGCTGCAGCTGAATTCCTTATGGACAATGGCAATCCTGAATGTGACCATTATGCTCATTTGCCTTCAGTAGCAGTAAAGCTCTGCTGGATGAAATAGTAATTGCCTCCGGTCTATTTTTTGGAAATCCTGCCACGTGTTTAAGTTGTTACTCTGCTAACTATACGCTGGAATCTGTTTTGGATCAATACTGAGTAGAATTTCATGACACCCACTTCACACAATCTTGTCTCATGCCCTCCAACTTTTCTCCAATGGAAATGGGGACATCCTATTCCATACATTTCTCTGATGAAAGCAGAGATGTCCCTTCCAACATTTCTCCAATGAAAATAGGGACACCCTAAGGAAAAGCGGGACATTCCAGGATGAAATCAGAAACCGGGACAACTTCTGTAAATCCGGGACTGTCCCTGGAAAATCGGAACACTTGGAGGGTCTGCAGTGTGTGCTGATTATCAATCTTGCCCCTTTTGTCCATGTTCCTTTGTGTTCATATGCACAAGCCCCCTTCAGACATGACAGTGTTCACTCCCCATTGAAATCCGGTTAAATAATATTTTGAATGTGGCTCTGTCGGAACCCCTTACACGCCACAGAACGGTAAGTAAAGGCTCTTCAGGGATAGACACTCTTGGTGAGATTTAGCTTCCTTTCTGTACTTTATAAATGAGACAGGAGATACTTTTATTCCACGCACAAAACAAGAATCTTTATGGAGAGGGTGCTTGAATTGATGATGCATAAATAAACATATTGCTTGTGCACTGGACAAGTTACGGTAGTTATCTGTTGTTCTTGTATTTACATGAAAACCAATAAAAATTATTTGCGGAGGGGAGACATGATGGTGTTCACTACATGGCTACACAATAGCTCTTTTTAATCATGAGAGGAAAGTCCTGTATGTCAGATGTGGCAAAGTGGGTTGTTGGACCTACTGAGTTTCTGCATTTGTTAAAGGTGCAGAGCCTGTCTCAAGAGCAGTGCTTTTTTTTTCTGGGGGGACGCATACCCATAAACATTTTGTGAATCTTTGTACTTTGTCCATCTACTGTATTTTTTCCCTGATTTGAACTATAAAATGGTGATTTTCTTGAGTCAAAATGAGAGTACCCCTAAACATTTTTTTAAGAAAAAAAAGCACTGATCAGGAGAAAAGGTGGTACCTGTAATTCACTGTACCATCTTGGAGGCTAACAACGGATGGAAAAGTGCTGCAACCTAATGTGTTGTGCCCGGTTACATTTCCCACTCTGGAATAGAACATTCCCTCTAAAACACGGTGCATGTTTTGATACGGAAAGCTGCTCTGCAAGACATTTCCCCCATCCCAACAGAGTGGTGCTTCTTTCCACTATAATCCAGATTCCGGCACACCTGGTGCATAGTTTCTGCAACTAATTCTAGGTCTAAAGGAGAGGGATGCTCTGGTGTTACTTAGAATGCCTCTGCCTGCAGGACCTTGACAGTAAGCAGGTTTGGCAAAGGCTTGTTGTCCTCCGGATAGCATTGGATTACAACTCCCATCAGCACCAACCAGCATAACCAAGGGTCAGGGATGATGGGAGTTGTAGTCCAACAACTTCTGAAAGGCACCACATTGACTACCCTTCACACAGACAACCCAAGCTCCTTACCTAATGGACCCAAGTTAGCTTCAGCTTGGGTTGTTTGCCTAGATTTTTTTGGTGGAGACAGTAGCCCGGTCTCAGATCCCGGAGCTTGAGTTAGTGTAACATGGCAGCCTTTTGCTGAGGTCTGGAGGGGCAAGGAGCTGGGATGAGAGGGACCAGGTCCAAGTTTTACATCCTCCGCATGGCTGAGGGAAACCAGGTCCCTTAAAATTGTGCCTAGAAGCAGTAACGAGAAGTAATGAATTGTTTAACGAAAGCTGAATGGTTCGTTCACCTCAGAAAAGGCAACTTTGCTGCATGATGGACTGTTTTGCTCTTACAGGCCTTCTGGAAATAGTCTCTTCCCATGGAACATACCCAGCCATACAGGCCTGAGAACTACAGCGAGGGGGGAAAGGGAAAGGAGACACTCTTCCACACCATACTTTGTTTGCACCAAAGGAAAAAAAGACGTACACTACTTACTGGGAAAAGAGCTGGAATTTGAATACATTTTTTATTATGGAAATTACATGTGCTAACATAATTTGCAAAGACATATAGCAGTTCTCAACAAAAATATTATTATTTTTAAAAAAGCACTGCATGAAATATTGTTATAAAGCTGCCTTTCGGAAGATAAAAGTCTTTTTCACATTATTTGGGAAGATTTGTGGGCATTTGTGTGCAAATACCACACGCGCGGGGAAGTCAGTATAAATTGCATCCAAACCACCCTGAAAAACCAATATATATAATTAAGCCGCTTCCACAAGCGGCTGCTTCCAATCCAGCCACATTGCAGCTGCCCTGGGTGGAAAAGGTAGTTGTAAGTAGTAGACTGTTTTGTTCTGCTGCCTTTACATCGCCTGGGGTTTAAGTTCTCCATGGTGGTATTTCTACATGTCACCATTCAAGAGGATCTTGGCAGCTGAGAAGCCGTAATGAAGAGAGTAGGTACATTCGCTTCTCTGACTCACAGGTTATCAGCTCCAAATGTCCTCCAGAGGCTTTTCACACACCCCAAGGGGTAAAAAAGTGGGGTAACTATTTGTTTTGAACTGTGTGGAGAAGCACATAACCCCTAACTTTTCTCCGGTGAAAACAGAGACTTCCCCTCTTACATTTCTCTGATGAAAATAGGGAAATTCTAAGGAAAACCAGGACCTTCTGGGATTAAATCAGAAACTGGGACAGCTTCTGTAAAATGGGGACTGTCCCTGGAAAATAGGACACTTGGAGGGTCCAGAAACACCTTCAGAGGGTGCTATTTGGAGTAAACAGATAAAATGTTCCATTTCTCTCAGTCCAACATTTCAGGGTTCTTAAAAACAAAACCTACAGGGAGCTGGCCTTTCACTTTACTCAATGACTTCAGAATTTTTCCTGTCATTCAACAGCTTCCCCGGGGAACAGAAAGACTAGTTTTGACAAACGCTAATGGCCAAAGATGGGTTCCTTGAGTCAAAGTACGTCCCTCTCTAGACTAGGTATGATGAATCTTTGGCCCTCCAAGTTGTTGCTGAAGAGCAACTCCCATCCATCCCAGCCAACACGGCCAACAATCAGAATCATGGGATTTGTAGTCCAGCAACATGTGGAGGGGCAAAGGTTCACCATCCCTGGTCGAGACTCCTGGGTCCATTCCTGCAGATTCTGAGGTGTCTTTTGAATTCATTTCTCCCCTGATAAATGCATTATCAGCAACAGCAAGAAAGGCAAATTAGTGCAGCTAATAACTGACACAGGCTCCACCTGGATTCGTTATCCATCACTTTCTTATGTTTTAAACATTCATTCATCTTTTTTTAAAAAAAAAACGTTTGGACTACAGAGGCACATTTTGCAGAAACATAATTTGTCATTTTGCAGTAACATAAATACCATGCATCGCTGCCATCTACTCCTAGCTAAAGCCCAGTGTAAAAAATTCTCCTGTGATTTCCTCCCCACATTTATGGGAACCTAATCGTTTCAATGCTACTTTCCATTTCCCCGTGTAGTGTTTTGGTTTTCTTTCCCTCTGAATTTCATTTTCATCCGTAATTCGCTTCAGTGTGGGAAAGCTTGTCATTTTACTCCTCCTCTCACTTACAGGGCAGGCATGTGAGCTAGGGGCCTCCATAAGTCACCATAACAGGAGGAGCCCATTCGCGCCCTGTTTTGCCACGTGGAGGGCATTTCAGGGGCATCCCTGAAGTCTCTGCACCCTGGCAGAGTCAGCTGAACAACTGCGCTCTGTGTTGACAGATGGGCTCGAGTATCAAATGAGGGATTTGACACAGTAAAATTCAGCTTTCAACCTCTGTCTAAACTGGGTCGTGCTCAGATCAACGCAACTATGTGAATGTGGTAAGCAAGATTCTTTAAACCAATCTGTCAGGAGAAAAGTCACAGGCAGATAAAAGAACAGGTTGGAGGATCGGGAACCTTGTACGCTTGCAGGGGCTTAGCTGGAAACTTTTGTGCTCATCATCGCTCCGTTTGGCAGTGCATAAATACCAGCCGAACCCCCTCATCCGTACAGATTCCTATGTGCAAGACAGCTTCTAGCATCCATCTATGCCCCAGTTTCACAAGCAACATCGTTCATGTGGCTTCACCTTTGGCACTTTACTCCAAGTAATGGACGAGCAGGATAGCTAACAGACTCCGGGACTAGCCGGAGCTTCTCTTTGGCATCACACATTCAATGAGAAAGGGAGATACGAGGTCAAACTCTTTGGCATATCAGGTAAGTATCTGGTGCAAATTCAGCTCACAGTGAATCATGCTTTGGAGCGATTCATGAAAAGCAAAGACTGCAGCTGAGCCCATGTTGAACTGGGTTCAGAATCCAATGCACCCAAGAGGTATCAGACTTTCATGCACACCAGCAATCTGTGATCCCAACAAATTATCCAGATAATTTTGACACCTGATTGCACATTCATCAGCACATACACACCCCAAGCAGTCTCTAATCTATATGCATAAGCACCCTCGAAAAGATATCCCCTCACAGTGCTCATCACTCTGTATGTTCTCTGATATTTAATACATTCTTTTTCCTTTTTACCACTTTAATTCACAGGGGGGAGTGGCCTGCTATTCTGAGCACGCGTGAGCCAAAAGCACACAGAAATTTAAACTGCGGCAACTTCTGCAATTGCAGGTTCACCAAAAGTGACACAAACACATCAGTTGCCACACGTGAAATCAACTTGTGGCTCGCGCATTACGAAGCTCGCGAACGCTGGCCATTTTCCCCTGCGGAAGAAAGATCCAAAAGTCCTATATGTGCTAGTTCAACATTTCTGAAAGAGGAAATTCCTGGGTAAGGTCACGATGCCTGTCACACCATCAAAACCATCCTTTTTAGACCCTCGTTCATTGGGCCCACGGGAATAGAAATTGTTCACCTGCACGTACATGGAATGCATCCATCACTTTTTGTGCAAACTCTGGTGGCTGCAGGATGTCTCAACTTCCACCATAGGTCTGCAGGGGGAAAAGAGTGTTCTCTACAAATGTCAGTGGGACAGACACACACACACACACACACACCCTCATTCCTTTCCATACAGATGAACCACAGTAGATTGTTAACCTGCATGGAAACTTCTGGCAAGTGCCAGGGTTCTGTACAGCAGAAAGGAACCGCCGTATACGAAGCAACGTTTTTAATCTGCTGCTGGCGTCAGTGCTACTACGTGATAAACCAAACTTCACGGAGAGTTCCTGCTACAATCGGCTAGTATTGGCAAAAGGCAAAGGCATTCTGTGCGGACAAGAGGCTCTGGGAAGTGCATGAAGCGCCGCTTTGTGCTGCGTGATAAAGAGAGATGCCCTCATCGCTCCCTAATAGCGGGACCTCTGCTTTCTGGCTTCTACAGTGAGGCATCCTGTGGACAGCTACAATGCTGGCCTCTTACATCTTGAATCTCCTGTTGATAAAGAACAGAGTGAGAGTCTGTTAAGGGAAGGGTCTGAGGGAAGATGGTAGGCCTGTAAGGAAGCAACTGCCGGCTGATCTGGACGCACAGGGCAGCGTATGAGGCCTGCCGAGGACGTGGGCACGCAGCTGCTATTTACAAAACTTGAAGAAAAAGCCTGCTGTTCTCCAGTTCCAGGGCTAGCTGTGCTCGTCTGAAGTCACATTATGAAGGGAATAGCAAAACCAGGACCTTTTTTCAGCCCGAACTCACTGGAACTCAGTTCCTGCACCTCTCAGGTGGGTGCCGTTGCCATTACAGTGGTACCTCGGGTTACATACGCTTCAGGTTACAGACTCCGCTAACCCAGAAATAGTGCTTCAGGTTAAGAACTTTGCTTCAGGATGAGAACAGAAATCATGCTCCGGCGGCGTGGCAGCAGCAGGAGGCCCCATTAGCTAAAGTGGTGCTTCAGGTTAAGAACAGTTTCAGGTTAAGTACAGACCTCCGGAACGAATTAAGTACTTAACCCGAGGTACCATTGTATAAGAGAACACGGCGAGTTCCAGCACTGCTTTTTCTGGAAGAACAGCACTGAGTAGAAGGCATACAAAACAAACCACCAAAGGTATTTCTGTGAGGAGGGAAGCATCAGTCCATGGTGTTCTGGAGAGCGTGATTCATCTTGGCACTGTAAGTGGGCCTGCACGGCAGAAAGTAAAGTGGACACTTCAGGACAGAGCTGGATATGTCACTGAATAAGGAGTGAGATGCTCCTTAACCTCTATCCCATAAACTAGCGACGTTCCCGTTGTACTGTTGAGGCAGGAGATAGATGGGTGTTTCTGGCCACAGCACCATCTCTTTCTCTTATCTGCATCTCTAGAAGTCTGGTTTTAAGACGCCCCCAACTCTGAGCATATTCTAAGGCCAGAATTGGATTTGTGTCCCGGTCCACACCAGGAGCAGGTCAACAGTTGTGTGCAAGGTCTGTGAGGGGGTGTGCGGAAGGGGGCAGCTACCCATGGGCTTGGGTTGAATTATGAGAAAGGGACCCAAAAGCTGGAGAAAAAAACCAAATGAGCAAAAAAGGCTACCACTAAGCAGGTTCTCAAGGAAGGCACATCCCTGCCTCTCGCCTCCATCGGTGCAGTAAGGAATGGCTAGGCAAGTACCCCTTTGTGACTTACCTGCATGTCTTTCTCTGGAGAAAAAGTCATTCTGGGTAGCAAAACAAGCATCCCTTTGAAGCAAGCTGACCACAAACCCTTTCTAGGCAGCCTCTTCTTCATTATATGGGTGCAGAACAAGGCAAACTTTAGGAAGCTGGTGTAATTTACACCTGGGCAAATTATGCTTGGTATGCCTTGTCACTGTTCAAACCTCAACTATTGCTGGCTGAGCTGCCCTGAGTCTGGCAGAGGGAAAACTAAGATATAATTTGACGACCCATCTTGCCAGTACAGTGGTACCTTGGTTCTTGAATTTAATCCGTTCCAGGAGTCCGTTCGACTTCCGAAATGGTTCGAAAACCAAGGCACGGCTTCTGATTGGCTGCAGGAGCTTCCTGCACCCAATCAGAAGCCGCGTCGAACATTCAGCTTCCGAAAAACGTCCGCAAACCAGAACACTCATTTCCAAGTTTGCGGCGTTAGGGAGTCGATTTGTTTGGGAGCTAAGCCATTTTACTACCAAAGTACCACTGTATAACTTTCACAGCCTTGCTCAGCCACATAACTGAGCTGGTCACCACCATGCTCCCACAAACTGGCACCGTTTCGGGACTTGCCGCCATCTTGGCTGAGCCCGATCTGAGCCAAGATGGAAGACTTATGGCAGCTATCTCCGGATGAGCTGAGATGAGACCCACCGATTCCAAACTCTGGTCAACCTGGCAGATCTTGGGTGTTAATCGCTTTCTAAAAAGACTGGCGTGGGGTTTTCCCTGGTGCAATCTACGCTGACAACAGTGCTGTTCCTCCGAAGATACTCTGCGCTGTTGCTTCTTATTTAACCAGATTTGTAAACAGCGATGAACAAGAGAGGTACCTTCTTAGGTGAAACCCTTGCTCATTTTTTCTGCCTTACTTTGAACCCAGGAATATGCATTCTCAGGACCAAGTCAAACTAATGAGGGTAGAAGTATCTTGACAGTTTGGGGGAGTTTTGTTTTTTACTTCAGTGCATTCACACGGTCTATGAATTTAGGGGCAGGAGGGAGAAACCACGTAGGGAGTATTATTTTGATGGAGAAATCATCCCATAGGGGAAAGGGTTAAGCATCCCTCTCCCCCCGGCTGCCCCTCCCCGTCCTCTGGAAAAGCTGGAAGGCTGTTCACGTCTCCCCCATGTCACGTCAAGTTTGGTGGTCCTCAGAATCTGGCTCACGGATCGACTCAGGCAAAACTGAGGCACTTCAGGACAGCACCTGAAACTAAAGTCCCTCATGACAGATGTCGCTTCAAAGACTCCCTCAAACCCACACCTTTTCTGCGAAACTTCTGGCTTCAACCCAAACAAAGCAATCTCTGGTTACCTGGGGCTCTCTTCCTTACCTTCGCCATCTCTCTAATTCTTGAAATTTAGAAGATAGGCTTAGTAGAGCGAAAGGCCATCGTTGGGTTTGGGGGTTAAAGCAGCATGTACATTAATAGTGTAGTAGTAGTGGTGATGGTATATTATTATTATTATTATTATTATTATTATTATTATTTCCATAAAAGGTATCCACAGGTTAGTAAGTTTTAAGTGAGGACCTGATACAGTCATACCTTGGAAGTCGAACGGAATCCATTCCGGAAGTCCGTTCCACTTCCAAAACGTTCAAAAACCAAAGCGCAGCTTCTGAATGGCTGCTGGAAGTTCCTGCGGCCAATCGGAAGCAACAGAATCCCCGTCGGACGTTTGGCTTCCAAAAGAACATTTGAAAACTGGAACAGTCACTTCCGGGTTTCAGTTGCTCCTGAGCCAAAACGTTCTGAGAACTAGGCTGTTTGACTTCCAAGGTATAATGAATTGCAGTACTGGCATGGAACATAACAGCATAAAAATTGCGCACAGCAGCCGACCAGAAGCCAACCCCCTGGGTTTTACGTAAAATTTGCCAGGATGATTTTTACATGAATGAAATAAGAAAATGTTGTTACCCACCCTGCACCTTAGGGATCTTAAATCAGTGGCGGGCGGTGAAATATTTCGTAGGGGGGCGGTTAGGGCCAGAGGAGCCAGCTTGCAAGGACGATGGGGGAGCTGACATCGAGATATCACATCCCATGAGTGAGCATCATGTCTTCCTCCCTAAGCCAGGCAGACGCTACCCAGGCTTTGGGAAGGAGGTGTCAGGCCTCTGATAGGATGCTGGAGCCCTGCTACCTCCTTCCGAAAGCCGGGTGGAGTTTGGGAAGGTGGTGGGAGGGCGGGAACATTTAGGGAACTAGCCTAGTCCCCCTCGTCCACTGACCGCACGCCACTGTCTTAAATGGCAGCAACGACAACAACAAAAAACTGCCAAGACAGGCAAGTTAAGACAATTTTCTTACGGAAAAGAGATCCTGGGCAGAACAATTCCTTGGTTTGCATACCATACTTAATTTTGCCCTGCGTTGTAAATTTAAGTACAGTGGAACCTTGGTTCTCAAACTTAATCCGTTCCAGAAGTCCCAAAACCATTTGAAAACCAAGGCGTGGCTTCCGATTGGCTGCAGGCACTTCCTGCACTCAAGCGGAAGCCGCGTTGGATGTTCGGCTTCCGAAAAACGTTCCAAAACCGGAACACTTACTTCCAGGTTTTTGGCATTCGGGAGACAATTTGTTCGTCAACTAAGCCCTTCGAGAACCAAGGTTCCACTGTACTAGTGAGGAGAACCATGACACAACCGAGAGATGCACTCTTTGCACGGCTCTGCATTTATTTTATTTATTTTATGGTTTTGGACATTGTCATTGCTGCCTTTCATCCCTAGTAGTGCATGGGAGAGCAGTAAGGAAAAGGTAAGCAGTTAGTGAGCAACAAAAGTTATTTCACTTCACATTGTAACCACATGTTCACCACACATTCAACAAGCAATCTCGGCCTAAGAGATCTTCGGCTGGTCTCTCACGCACACATTCAGACACATACGGACGTGAAATTTAAGCAACTTAGAACAGCCCGTCTAAAAAAAGTATTTTATTTCAGAAAAATAAACTTCCAAATACAACTGGGCTTTTGTAATATAAAAAATAGCCGCTTTTATTGCTAGAGTGTGTTTATATAATATATTTATACATATAGTATGATATGCAATACAATGTTAGTACATGTGAAAAATAGAAACTATTGATAAACCACATTAATATAACTGTAGATATTTGTTTAACACTCCTTGACGGGCAAGGCAGCCTTTAAGCTGCCCATAGGCTCGTGGCTGCAATTCAGAGATTATAAACTGATTGACGGATAACAAGTGTGCTCTGAAATAAGCTTCTTTGGAATGCAGGGGGAATTCAGTACTGTGCAGATGGGCAAAATGGGTGTTCAAAACAGGAGCTCAAAAGGGCACCATCCTCCAGGGACATCTTCTGTGCAAGCCCTTTTGAAATTGAGCTTCTGAAAGGGCTCCTGGTGGGTTGCACTAAACCTTTCCAACAGGCCACATTCACAGGAGATAATTTCTCCGGAGCCTGGGCCCAACATTACAACCTGGGCTCAAACATTACTGGTAAAAATGAACATCTTTCAGGAGTCCCTTAAATGAGAAATCAACTGGTCACAGGAGCAGTTGAGGGCGGAATCGCAGGAAAGCTCAGTAAAAGCTTCCATGCTTAGTCCAGGGGCAAGCTAGACTATGCAAAGGATTCGAGAAAGCTTGTCTGAGGTTGACAGCACTGCAGCCACGATCTCAAACTCTCAGTTGATTGGCTGAAGGCTGCAGTAACAATTTATCAAGGGCCAAGAATATAATCCTGTTCCATAACAGATAGATCACATTTGCAGTTTGCATTCTAATTCAAAGAGAGCATTCTAATTGTTGATAGTGGTCTGCGGGGACTCAGCGGCTCAATCATCCCTGCATTATCCGGACCCAATCCCAGAGAAGAGAGGAGACGAAAAGAGAAGCAATGTAAATAAACCTCAAGCAGAGCACTATGAGCTTGTGAGTATGGTTTAATGAAAAGCTGTGATGTTACAATAAAGGAGAGCAGGAAAAGATTTGGCTTGCCCTGAACCTAGTGGCTGCCTCAAACATTCCCCCTAGATTTACCTCACTGAGAATATTTGTCAAACGCCAAAGGAGCCCCTTTAATTCCCTTTTGCCTGTAGGGTTTGGTCTGCAGTGGAAACAAGCAGTTCAGATCCGTTGCAAAGGTGACGAATGCCACAACCCGGGCTGCCGCCCAAGCCCACCATGGCACCCCTCTCTCTGCAACACATGGCTCATGGATCAGTTTAGGAGTAGTGCTTATCTAATGTGCAATCAATCGTCAGCGTTCGGATACCACAGGCTGGGTCAATCAACGCATTCAAACCGGGGAGCGAAGTGAAGGAATTAATGTTGATTGTCAGAATGGCCTGAGGGACGCGGAACAAACGTGGCCTCGTTGGGACCCAATCAGCAAGCATCTCTCTGGCCCCAAATACCGAAATCTCTTAAAACGCCCCAAATGAGAGCAAGGCCTGTTTTCAATGAAAACTCGATCCATCTTGGTTAGACCTAGCCATCAGCACGTTTTTTTGTTTTGCTTTTTTGTTTTGTTTTACCCAGGATGCGTTTAGGTTTAAGTCCTTTCTCGGCTTACTTGTGCAGGTATTTCTCCAGGTACTCTTGAATCCACCTTAACTTGGGATCGAGGCAGATCTGTTTGCTGCTGTTTTTCAGTCTTGCGCTGTTTCAAAAAGGGGGGGGGCGGAGAGGGAGGAATTTCAGAATAAGTAAGAGAATGAAAACCCTGAGCAAGAGAAGGCACTGTTGAATTTTGTTTGGTTCAACTCCTGGACGAGTTGCAAAGTATATTCCTTTTTACATTACGCATTAGGCAGCTAGTGAAAGAAAATTTCAGTGGTGGTGAAATCAGCCAGTACAATGACCAAAAAATGTGCCACACTGAATATTTCTACAGAAAACCTTTAAGCATTTTCACAGACCACAAGGAAAAGGCCCTCTGCTGTGCTCATACTAGTTAGGCCTAGAAGAGAGCTAGAAATCTAAACCATTCCATCTTTAATCAGGATGGTTTCCTTTCAGAAAGCTGCAGAATCATATTGATTTCCATAGGCTTGATTCCGATAACTGCTTGTTTTGAAGCAATCTCAATTCTTACATTATCCGATTGGCGGTTTTTCACGTTTTCGGAGGAAATAAGAGCCAACTTTTATTTCCAATAAATTTTTCTTCACAAAGCCATTCAAATAAATGGCAATTTCTTAAAGAGTTGCTACTAAGGACCAGAATGGCTCTGGGAATGAGAGGAACATGTCTATGATCCAACTAATATTCCCTCTTGCCAAGCCTTGTAATATTTTAAATAAAGACTTTTGTGATTTGATTTGCATTTAGAGCATAGATGTTTGTCATCATTGTACATTTTTATGCAAAATTTGAATTTCAAGTTCATACACTGGTTAAATACCGATCACCACACCAACTGCTGTACATGATGGAGACATCAACCCTGTTTCAAATATCTGTATGCTTTTAACACATGTTTTGTAATAGTATAAAATTACTCCTTATTTCAAGAAATGTGTAGTTTTTCTCCTCTTAATAGGAGACCAAAATCTTTTTTAATATTAAGGATGGAATATCGTATTCATAGATATTTTCATTAAATGTGAAAGGACAGATTAACAGCTGGTTTGACAGCAGCATAAATTTTGGAGTGGACAGCACGTATATGTTTTGTTTTGTGAGTACCAGGTCCTCATTCCGGGGACAAAACTGCTTTTTGATCAATCCACACATAACTCTGGGACCCCTCTTTCAATTCACACCTACCCTGACTCTTTGAAGGCCTGAAGTTTCATCGTTACGCCTTTCAAATGAAGGGATCCCAAGGAGTTATGTATGTGTGTGTGTGTGTATATATATATGACATCCTTTGAAACACCGGATTGTGTTTACTTGCACAGTGATTTGGGATGGAGCGTTTTAAAAATGGTTATATGTAAAACTTTTAAAAATGAAAATATGCCCCAAATTCCCCATCCAACTGTGCAAAGCACAACGCCATAAAGAAGGTCTATTGTTTTGATTTTCATGAACAAACGGTGCCAGATAGAAGGAAATCTGTACTTGATAAATAAACAGGCGTCAGAATCCATCGCCAGGCTCTTTGTGCTGCCCAGACCACCAACCCACAATGCAATTAGCTGGCTGAAGTAAAACCAATAAATAGTTTCCTTTCATTGGAGAGGAGAAACTTCTGTTATGACAATCTTAATTGGGTGTGTCCCCTTAAGCTGAGGGAAAATGGTAGATTCACCAAGATAAATAGTGCCGGCAACCACGACTCTGAAGCAACAACTATCTCACTCTCCCAACAAAGGTAATCTCTTAGGCCAGGCTTCCTCAACCTCTGTCCTCCAGATGTTTTTGGCCTACAACTCCCATGATCCCTAGCTAGCAGGACCAGTGGTCAGGGATGATGGGAATTGTAGTCTCAAAACATCTGGAGGGCCAAGGTTGAGGAATCCTGTCTTAAGCTGTTTTCGGTGTCAAAGTCACGCATGGGTGTAGCTCATATCATCCCTGACCACATTGACCAAGCTGGCTGGAATTGATGGAAGTTGGGAGTCCAACATGATCTTGAGGTCACCAGATTGACTACCTCTGGTCTACCTTATCAGTTGTATCCAGCTGCCACTCGCTCGAGCCAGCTGCTGAATTAGGGGAAATTTGTAACTAGACAGGAGTGGTTGTAACACTCTGGTTCCAAATAGGTTTACCGAAGGAGATGTCAGCCTACCACGTCCTACAAGGCAGCCAGGACCAACCCTCTCTCAAAGAGACCTTATTATCTCCCAGAGGACATAACTAGCCATGATGGGCAAGAATCACACGCAAGAGGCTGGGCAAATCTCTTCAAGCATCTTGTCTACGCCCTCAGGCTGCCAAAACTGAAACATCTAAGAAACCTGGACCAGTCAGTGCTTTGGGCACACCCGTACCGTCAAGGATGGAATGGGTGGAAACAGGACTTCATCTCTCCCAATAGGTTTAACGGAAGCAGGTTCCAAAATACCTGGAAGAGCTCTGCCGCACAACTCTGAAGATGCAACGGTGGCAAAAAGTTTTGCTTTCTTGCCACCATCACCGCAACAGAGTACACCTGAGCTCATACCTATGTTTGGCTTGTCTCTAGGCACCTAGAAGTGTCTTTAACTGGGGGGGGGGGTGCTCAAGGAAGTCCAGTATTTAGAAAAGGCCCCAGCTGTACTGAATATAATTGTAAAACAACCAGAAGCTCTTCTCCCAAGGCCCAGCAAGTCAGGGGTTACAGCCCTGGAGCTACATTTCTTCCTCTCCTCTGTCAAACAACCTTGAGTGCTATGGGAGGTTTGTTTCATTGTTTTACCTGCCCTTCCTCCAGCTCTTCCCTCCCACTGCCTTCCAGGCAGTCTTTCCAGGAGTCATGCAAAACATTTGAGATGCTTCTTCACTCTTTTCATCTGCTTAAGGCATGGCCAAACTTGGCCCTCCAGCTGCTTTGGGACTACAATTCCCATCATCCCTGACCAGTGGTCCTTTTAGCTAGGGATGATGGGAGTTGTAGTCCCAAAACAGCCGGAGGGCCAAGTTTGGCCATGCCTGGCTTAAGGGGACACACCCAAAATCTAAAAAGAACCACCTTCTTTTACAAGGCTGACAGTTTCTGTCTAAAACTAGCAAAATCCAACCCATGTTTGGTGCCTTGGAGTGTAACAGCTTCCTAGCCCATCTCCGACACTGGATAAATTCATTGTTATTGTTTGAATAAAATTTAGGCATTCCTGCCTCTGCAGGTAATAAATATGCTTAGCAGATAATACATTGGACGCAATGTATTACCTTTTATTTTCTTTTAATTAAATCAAATTTAATACAGCTTCCGCCAAAAATCCCCCACATAGCATTAAGATTATACAGTGGTGCCCTGCAAGACGAACGCCTCGCAAGACGGAAAACCCGCTAGACGAAAGGGTTTTCCGTCGCGGAGGCGCTTTGCAAAACGAATTTCCTTATGGGGTTGCTTCGCAAGACGAAAAAATCTTGCGCTTCCCCGCGGGTTTTTTTTGCTTTCCCCCCCTTTTCCTAAGCCGCTAAACCGCCTATCAGCTGTTCCGCTGATAACCCGCTTAACAGCTGATCGCGAAAAGCCGCTAGACCGCTGTAGCGCTAATCCGCTAAGCTGTCAATGGGCTTGCTTCGCAAGACGAAAAAACCGCTAGACGAAGAGAATCGCGGAACGGATTCTTTTCGTCTTGCGAGGCACCACTGTAACATCATTTTACATAATCTGATGGCGTTAACGGTCTACATAGGCTTTCCACAGACATGTTTGCACAACTGGTGGGATAAATTTGCTAACTGCTTCCCTTAGGTATGAAAAGAAGGGGGGACCAGGTTCCATCAAAGGTGTTTCTCTTTTTAACACTTTTCCCTGCCCTTTCTGGAGATTTTAAGTAGGGAGCGCAGTCCTTAAAACCAAAAATAATGAACTTCTATAGTTTGGTGCATTGCCTGAAGTGGCCACAGGGAGGCAGGCAAGCAGGCCCCGTATCAGAACTTCTCAGCCCCTTCTCTCCCTGGTTGTATAGATCTCATTTTAGTTAAAAGAAAAATAGGCAAATGATTGTTCTTTTTTAAAAAAGGGGAGGGCATAGTGAAGTTCTTCCAGTTCCCCTCTGCTTCTGTCTCTGCTCACCCCTTCCCAGCCGCCATTCAAGTTTCCTCTTAATTTCCACTTAAGCACAAAGAGCTTCTTAGACCTAAGCCCACTCTCTGCGGCTAGGCTAGACAAAGAAGCCAAGAGTCATGTTTCACTGAGAATGTTTCTCAAATTGGACTCTTTATCATGCAAAACAAGCAATACAATTGGTTTAACATGTTTTCCCTGCTTAAAGTGAGTGGCATGTGCCCAAGGCCAAGATAAATATCTCAGGGAGAGGAATGCAACTACCGGTAAATAAATTTATTTATTTTCAGCATTTGAATCTAGCCACAACTGCAGTGCAATATACCAGCTGTGGGGAACCTTTGACTTTCCCTGTCCATTAGCCATGTTGCCGGGAGTTGTAGTTCAGCAACACCTAGCGGGACTAAGGTTCCCCACACCTGAATTATACCAAACAGTTTTTCATCCAGTACAAAATTATCTTTCTCATCTGAAAGATCGCAGGATAGGCATACTCTCCCCGTCACATATTAACCCAATTATGAATTAATTAACTAGGCTAATAACAACAACAACAAAACTATTTTTGGTTCTAACCCTTGCAAAATATTTTGAGAAGACACGGCAAGTCTACGTTTGCACACAAATTTAACAATGCAGTGGTACCTTGGTTTTTGAACGTTATCTGTTCCGGAAGACCGTTCGAGTCTCAAAACGTTTGAAAACCAAGGTGCAAAGGGCAGCCGGCAAATTTAATAGAGAAAATTGAGAAAAATAACATATGCACTCAGCGGAAACTGTTCGACTTCCGAGGCATGTTCGAAAACGGAAGCATTTACTCCCGGGTTTACGGCGTTCGAAGACCGAAACGTTCGTCAACGGAGACATTCGAAAACTGAGGTACCACTGTATTTGGAAATTGTTTCTAAAAGTACCCTATTAGATTGAGGTCCAGTTAACTACAATAATGATTCCCCCCCACCCTCTCTTTTTGTAATGTACACAATATATTTTTATGTTGTCATTGCTGTTCTGTTTTGTTTTCTCAAAAGGTAAAGGGACCCCTGACCATTAGGTCAAGTCGTGACCGACTCTGGGGTTGCAGCACTCATCTCGCTTTATTGGCCAAGGGAGCTGGTGTACAGCTTCCGGGTCATGTGTCCAGCATGACTAAGCCGCTTCTGGCGAACCAGAGCAGTGCACAGAAAGGCCATTTACCTTCCCGCTGGAGCAGTACCTATTTATCTACTTGCACTTTGACGCGCTTTTGAACTGCTAGGTTGGCAGGAGCAGGGACCGAGCAACGGGAGCTCACCCCACCGCGGGGATTCGAACCGCCGACCTTCTGATCGGCAAGTCCTAGGCTCTGTGGTTTAACCCACAGCGCCACCCGCGTCCCGTTTTGTTTTCCACATTGGTACTATTTCTTGTTTCCCATTCTTTCCTGTGTTTTGTCTTACTCTGTGCATTTGCAATTTTGTACTTTTTATGTCAATAAAGAATATAATTTTTTTTAAAAAAAAGTTTGCGAGAGAGAGAGAGAGAAAAGAAGGCATTTGTCCTGTGCCAGCAGCACTTGTTCCTGAGGCAACAGCGTACAATAGGGAAAAAAGGGGGTGCAAACTTACATGATCTGCAGTGAACAGCCGGGGACAGTCAAGATCTTGAGGTGCTTCACATGGGATTTCGCTACATTGCTCTCAAAATATCTGCATGGGCAGCGGTAAGTCAGGCTGATGGGTTTCCCTGGAGGGTGGCATAAAGAAAAGGATTTAGATGCCCTGGGCTGACACCAAGACCACCTCGCAGTGCAGATTACAAGATTTTAAGGGGAGGAGAGGAGGGAAGACTTATTCCTGGCATTTTTAGCACTTTTGCCAAGCTGCAGGGGTCCCAGCCTCTTCAGTTCTCATTTCAGCTTTTAATCCCGGTGTTTGTGGGTTTTAGAAGGCGAAATGGGGCGCGAAACTGGAACCTCAGAAATGGAGAAGCGCTTTTCTTTCTTTAAAAAAGGAGCCAGCTAATTGTCCCAAGTGGCTGGGGGCAATTAAGAAAGATAAAGGCTGCAAATGAAAAGCCCTTGGCCCCTGCAATGTTATTCCTGCCAAAGGATTTGACCTGAGGCCAAATGCAAAGGCAGACAGGAGAAGAAAGGAGGCCCTCAGCTCTGCAAAGCCAAACAACACCCCCCAATAACCCCAGGGATTGCAAGCAGAGAGAGGGAGAAGGGAGCCGAGACCTTTGGGCTACCCAAGGACTGGCCCAGATGTGGCTCTTCGAAGTCCAGTTGCTTTTGCAGCTGTGGAATAATCCTATGGTAATTATGGGGCACCAGGTCTCACAGTAAAGCGTAATTCAGGTAGTTGATGGCCCCTCTGCTAGCCAGATGCAAATCCAAAGGTGTGGGGAGAAAGGAGATGATAATTTCTGCAGATTCCCCCCACTGAATTTGCTCCAAAGAACCCTCCAGAGCTGCGAAGGCGTCAGGAGAAGGAGCCCATGAAAACCACCTCTCCCATTTTTAGCAAAACAGTGGTACCTCTGGTTACGTACTTAATTTGTTCCGGAGGTCCGTTCTTAACCTGAAACTGTTCTTAACCTGAAGCACCACTTTAGCTAATGGGGCCTCCCGCTGCCGCTGCACCGCCAGAGCACAATTTCTGTTCTCATCCTGAAGCAAAGTTCTTAACCCGAGGTATTATTTCTGGGTTAGCGGAGTCTGTAACCTGAAGCGTATGTAACCTGAAGCATATATAACCTGAGGTACCACTGTACATAATCAACACAATGATTCCTGAATGCGCGTTTGCGTTCTTTTTATTTATTTCCAAAAAATTATGCACTGCTTGATCATTAAAAAAAATAAATCCTCAAAGTGGTTCTTGTTCATTCAGATGAACACACTCAACAGCACAGGTTTCTTCCAAGTAATTTTCAAAACACAGAAAACTCAACTCTTGGGTACTATAAGACTATCAGACAGCTGACAGAATCTTCACATAAAGCAATAGTCAGCATCTGTGGAAATGCTATTTAAATCCCCTAAGAACAAAACAAAACCCCAGCAAATTCACCCTTGTTTGCCGCTTCTCAAGGTGTGTGTTACCTTCTCCCTCTATAGCCCTAAGGTGGCAGGTGCTCAAAAACCAGGCTAATGCTGTAAAAAAAAAAGTCTGTAGTTTATTACTTCCACTCTCCTGCAATCAGGTATTTCCACCTCCTCGAGTGATCATGCAGTCCCTTTCAAAAGTAACTGCAATTCCAAACTCTCATTTAGGAACTGAATTCTTTACATTTCGAATCCACTGGGCCTCTTTTTCCCACGAATAAGTGGTCATTCTGCCCATTTATTATTATTATTTTCCTAGTTCCCCCCACGACAAAAAAAAAATGTTGATTTATTATTGTGTCTGGGAAAATGTTCAGCTTAGTGGGTCTGCCAGTCAATTATTTATTTATTCTGCGTTTGTGTTCGCCCACCTACTTCTTAGAAACTGGTATGTGTGTGTTTTTTAACAATCTGCAGTTTACATATAACAATTTACAAATTCTACGTATCGCATGCCAATGGTTGCCTGTTGTAAAGTCCCTAGGGTTAGACCTTTTCTTGCCCAACACAGGATTATAAAACTCCCAACAATTCTTGCAGGGAAATCTCTGCCTTCAGGGGGGCAAGAAGGGTGATTTTTCCAGATTAAGACCTACAACCTATCTGATTTACAACAGTAAATTTACGACGGTAAATCAGATTCTAATGGCAGATCTCTGAATGATTTGCAGGCCGGCAAGGCTTTCAGGTCCCTATTCCTTAAAAGTTCGAAAGTGACTCCACTCACTGTACTAGTGAAGTGTTGAGATAACCAGAAGCAGTTTTGGTTTTTTGTATGGAAGGAAGTATTCAGTGTTGTGTACATGACAAGTCCCTGAGCTCAGAAGTCTTAAAATTCAATTTCTTTTGCACCAAAAGGATCTTGGGTTAGAAACAAAGCCTCAGATTTGCCCATCTCCATTTCACAGTATGTATTACTGTGTACAAACGGGTTTTTAATGTTCCCAGTCCTTTAGTAAATAAATAACTGTCTGTCCCTGCAGACTGGTATATCTCTCAATAAACTCCACCGCTGGTTAATCCTCTTCTCAGTTAACAGTAGAGAGGAAAACAAGGGAGGAACTCATCCTGTGTATGTATTTGTCCCTTTCTGCGTGCCCAATAGTTGGGGGATTTTGACCAGAGACAAAGCTCTCTTCGCAGAAAGCATGAGACCCTCTTCTCCCGGTCCTAGATCCCGAGTCCAAATTAGGATGTCACATACCCCTCCTGCATCTGCTATTAGCAAAAAAACATCAGGGGATCCATTCACAAATGTTCTGCATAAGTGACACGTAACTTAGCGCACAATGTGAAGGTTTGGGGAGGGCAAGTATAGAGGGCTGCTCCATCATGTGATTCTGAAGCTGCACAGACCAATGAAAGACAGCTAGATGAGATATCTTCCATAAAGAGAAGGTTGAAAGTATACCAAAACGCAGTACAAAGGAAATGAAATAAAGAGAGATGATGAAGCCGCAAAGAGGTAGAGGGAAGTCAATTAATTGTAGCATGGAAATGCACAAGTTTAGAAGAGTAAATAGATGATGTACGTAAATGAAGAAGAAAAAATGGTGTATATCTGTAATTTTTAAAATGCAATGAAAATCGATTTTAAAAAATGAAGTTGCACAGACCAAACAAACGTCTGTAGTTGCCTCTCTAGTGAGGCTTTCACCTGAGGATGCAGAAAAAACGGGGAGCTAATCTGGCTGGCCCTGCCCGCAACACCCCCTCCCCGCAACTGCAGACACAGACTTTGGCACTTAGCTGCAGGTTTGAAGGAGTATATCCTTTGCACATGCTCAGCTGAATCTTGCCTGTGTTCGAGAACCAGGATGCCAGGGGGATTCTAACCATCTTCAGTTTAAATGCAGGAACCCCCCCCCCCAGGTGTCCTTTAAATTGCATGGCTGCAAATTTCTAAGCTGGTTTTTTTAGTACTGTGGTACCTTGGGTTAAGTACTTAATTCGTTCCGAAGGTCCATTCTTAACCTGAAACTGTTCTTAACCTGAAGCACCACTTTAGCTAGTGGGGCCTCCCGCTGCCGCTGTGCAGCTGCCAGAGCACAATTTCTGTTCTCATCCCGAAGCAAAGGTACTACTTCTGGGTTAGCAGAGTCTGCAACCTGAAGCGTCTGTAACCTGAAGCGTATGTAACCCGGAGTACCACTGTATTGCCTTTTTGCATTGTTGTAAGCCGCCCCGGGGAAGAAATCCAATAAGGGTGATCCTGAACAGGGCTTAAAAGCCTTGGGTCCGCGATCTCGGTTTGTCCTCCTAACTTTTCCAAGCGAGGATATTGTGGCTTCAAGGGACAAAGGATGAGGGACTCAGTCAGGGTTCTGCACCTTCTGCCCAGCTCTGCCTACACTGAACTCTTCTAGAATCCTAGAATTGTAGACTTGGAAGGGGCCCAATGGTCATCCAGTCCAACCCCCCCCCCCCAATGCAGCTTGGCTGAAAGCAAAGCAAGGAGACTCTCCAGCTGACTGTCCCTTGCGGTAGGGGTTCCCTCTTTCCCCAAGAGCTGGCCAGGTATGCAAAAACAAAGGTGAAGGAAGGTGGCAAAAAGCAGCTATTGCCTGTGTTTTTCCAGAGCTGCAAAGCCTTAGCTTGCACGGAGAGGAGGAGGAGTATCTCCAAAAGGAAACCGTGGCAAGCTCCTCAGCCTCTGGGTATCTGTCCCCAAGAAGCTGCAAGAAGCTACTGAATATAAATTAACCCGTAAAATTTGGATATTTCTGAAACCAAAAGAGCAGCGGCAACAGTCAAGAAGAGCAAGAGATTTAACATCAAGCCTGCCAGTTGCAGAAGACCTGTAGGCTGGGCTGCTACAAACCAGGATGCTCAAGAGATGCTGATCCAGCCATCACCTGGGTGAATTTCGTTGATTCAAAGGATTTTGAGCACCGTAGTTTACCCCTCGCAGAACTACAATTCCCAGCAGCCCTTAAAGGTGCCCAGAATTATTTGAGGGGGAGAAATGAGCTTGCATTGAGCTCAGAAGCTTGTAAGCGGCCTCAGATTGCAGGAGGGAGCGTGGAAGGAATTTATAGCATAAGCTGCAAACGGGCTGCAACCCTCCCCCCCCCCGACGTGGGTGCAAGTGTCCAAACTTGGCATCACTGCCTGGACTGGGCTGCGGGTCTCATAGGCGACTGTGCAGCCCGGGAGGGGAGAGCAGCTTCGGGTGGAGAGAGATGCAAGGGTCGTGCGGCCGCCTACCCCGTGGGTTCCCGGGGTTTGCTGGATGAAGACGCAGGTGCGCAGGGCTGGGCCTTTCCACCTCGCGGAGAAAAAGGGCCTCCTCTTTGCGCGGAAGGGAAGGGAAGGGGGCTTCGCGCAGCAGCCCCGCCGTCGAGGTGCCTGATCCCAGGCAACCGGTCCGCTGGCGGTGGCGTCGAAGTCCAGAGAGGGGCTACCAGGGTGCGGGAGAAAACGGGGACGCGGAGAAAAGAAAACCCAACTCTCTCTCCGCTTGAGCCTTCGCGCACAAGAAAGAGAAGCGCCCGAGGGCGAAGATTCAGCCCTTCGACGGCGGGAGGAATCGGCGCTCGGCGCTCCCTCTACGCCGGAGAGAAGGCGAGCGAGGAACAAGGCTGACCCTACAAGTCCCTGCATCCTCTTTGGGAACCACTCCGTAGTCTTTTGAGCGGTTTTACTCGGGAACAAGTGGATTGGCTTTTTTTGTGGGTTGCGGAGAGTCGTGCATAGCCACTTTCCCGTGGGACCCCCCTCTCCGTTTCCTTCGCATTCCTCATTCTGGACTGACAAGCCGTCTGCAAGCATCATTGGGGAAACTTCGACAGTCCCGCCGCGTTTGCTACTTTCGAGGGGAAAGGGGCGCAAAAACGGGTTCAGGAGCTGCCTGCCGCCCATCGGATTTCGCTCTGGCTTCGGCTACAAAACGGGGCGGGGGTATAGAAAAAGCCCGCATTTGACGGCAGAGCAACGGACGGCTAAATGGGCAAACCCCAGGCCTTACTGAACGTTGGGATCCATCGCAAAATGGATCACCCCGCTCGCTGCTCTGGAACAGGAACCCGGCCTCCGACACCCTCCCTGCCTCCCGCTTCTCTCCGCTAGCCAAGGGTGCCCTTCTCCGGTGCCCCCCGACGGAGCAGCCCCAGAGACACCTGCGAGGAGCCCCGACAGCCCTGGGCTGGGGATCCAGCCGCCTCCGCTCCTCTCTCCTGCTTTTGTCTGCCGTGCGCCCTCGGCCGGGACTGGCCTCCCCGCGACGGCGCTGGAGTTCAAGCGGAGGGCGCGCGCTCCCGGCGGCCCCCGACGGGGCGGAGGGCAGCGAGCCGTCCAGCACTTACCGTCGGCGGCGCGGAGGGTCCCGAGGAGCAGCAGCAAGGCGAGGAAGGCGGCTTTGCTGTCCATGGCGGCGGCTGGTCTGGACTTGGAGCCGGGTCGTCAGAGGAGCTGCAGCTGTTTGCCGTCGCTGCGGATTTGCGCGGCCGTCTGCCCGGGCCGTTCCTTCCCTCCCGCCCATCTATAGGGGCTGGCGGGGCCGGGGAAGGGGAGGGGGCTCCTGGAGGAGTTGAGGGGGGAGGAGGAAAAGGGGCCGGTCGCTCGGATGGACCGCCTGAAGCACGTTGTGATATCCGCCCGCCCTCCGAACAGGGCTGGAAAGGAGCCCAGAGACTTCCTCGCCCGCCCGCCCCGCCCGCCCCCCCCCGAGTCCGGAGACGCGGCAGAGAGATCCCGAGGGGGCTGCGAGCCCCAGGGGCTCTTCGCCCACGGAGCCTGCCCCCCCACCTCGAGAAACGGACTTCCGATGTTGCTTTTGCTGCTGCTGTCCGGCGCCCTTCTCTCTCTCTCCCCCCCCCCATGCCTTGTTGTTGTTTAGTCGTTTAATCGTGTCCGACTCTTCGTGACCCCCTGGACCAGAGCACGCCAGGCACTCTTGTCTTCCACTGCCTCCCGCAGTTTTGTCAAACTCATGCTGGTAGCTTCGAGAAACACTGTCCAACCATCTCGTCCTCTGTCGTCCCCTTCTCCTTGTGCCCTCCATCTTTCCCAACAGCAGGGTCTTTTCCAGGGAGTCTTCTCTTCTCATGAGGTGGTCAAAGTCTTGGAGCCTCAGCTTCAGGATCTCTCCTTCCAGTGAGCACTCAGGGCTGATTTCCTTCAGAATGGATAGGTTTGATCTTCTTGCAGTCCATGGGACTCTCAAGAGTCTCCTCCAGCACCACAGTTCAAAAGCATCAATTCTTTGGTGATCAGCCTTCTTTATGGTCCAGCTCTCACTTCCATACATCACTACTGGGAAAACCATGGCTTTAACTATATAGACCTTTGTTGGCAAGGTGATGTCTCTGCTTTTTAAGATGCTGTCTAGGCCTGTCATTGTCCTTCTCCCAAGAAGCAGGCGTCTTTTAATTTCGTGGCTGCTGTCACCATCTGCAGTGATCATGGAGCCCAAGAAAGTAAAATCTCTCACTGCCTCCATTTCTTCCCCTTCTATTTGCCAGGAGGTGATGGGACCAGTGGCCATGATCTTCGCCATGCCTTACCAGGTCCCTTTCCCAGGAGAGAAACCCCTTTTTGCTCGCAGCCTCTCTTGGCAAGTTCTGTGCCCCGGAGAGCAACCCCGGAGGGACGGCGTGGGGGGGGGGGAGATTACTTCTGCAACCAGGGCTGATTCTTGATGTGCTTGCACTTTGATGTGCTTTCGAACTGCTAGGTTGGCAGGAGCAAGGACCAAGCAACGGGAGCTCACCCCGTGGCGGGGATTCAAACCGCCGACCTTCTGATCAGCAAGTCCTAGGCTCTGTGGTTTAGACCACAGCGCCAGGCTCTTTTTATCATATGTGGTGGTCTTGTAGTAAGGTTAAAGCTTACTGGGAAATGATACATAATGAATTGAAAAGGATGTTTGAAATAACTTTTACAAAGAAAAAACGAGAAGCTTTTCTTTTGTGAATTACAGTGATGGAAGTACCTAAATTGTATAGAGAATTATTTATGCATGCTACTACTGCAGCAGCAAGAATGTTGCTTGTCCCAAAATGGAAAGAAGCAGAAGTCCCAGCAAAGGAAGAATGGATACAAAAACTTATGGAATATGCAGAAATGGTGAAACTTGCTGGAAAAATAAGAATCAAGACAACAAACTTTTTATCAAAGAATGGAAATGGTTTATTGAATGTTTACAAATAAATTGTAAGCAGATAAAAACATTAGCAGGATTAGTGTAATAACCTGCGGTTTCATAAGAGTATATATTTATAGTAGCAAGTTAAATGAATTTGGATATGCAGAAGGTATAAAAAAAATAAATTTAAGGAACCACAGAAAGAGGGGGAAGGAAGTCAAATGATAAATGGATTGTAAAACTAATGAAATGTATAAATTTGAAAAGTATAAATTATTTTAAACTATTTTTAAAAACTCCATTCAGCCATGAAGCTCATTAGACACACACACACACACACACACAGACAGACACACACACACTGAGTTTGTTGCTGATTTTCACCTCACCTGCCTTGCACCATTCTTGAGAGGGGGTGGGGAGTAAATATCACACACATACCGCCTATGAGCCTATGTCTGGCAAAACTTCCTGGCTATTTCTTTACCATGATTTTTTTAGACAAGCCAGTAGCCTCCCAGAGGCTGCAGAAAAGATGATTCTGATTAATTGACTTATACCCCACTTTCTTTCTTTCTCAAGGCACCTATCGAAAATGCCAGGACCGTAAAAGGATATGGTTGGTGGGTTCAGGTTTGTTTTAAGTCCTGAAATGTACATTCCTCTGGCAGCTGAAATAACTAGATTTTCCGAAGACTTCCAGTGAAGATTCTATAACTGAAAGTAATTAAATAAGCTACCTAATCGCAGCTGGGAGTCAGGATGTAAACCGCACAGTATTGCTGCATTCTTTCAGACAATTGCACTGATTCTACCACTCATTGGGAAAGAAAATGGTTGTGAAGAGTTATTCTGCTCCCCTGATTGTGCCCATGGTATAGTCAAGATGAAATAGTGCGTTCAATGCAAGACCATTTCTATGACAACAGTGTTGTTCTGAAGGTCAGTGAACAGTGGTACCTTGGTTCTCAAACGTTATCCGTTCCGGAAGTCCGTTCCAAAACCAAAGCGTTCCAAAACCAAGGTGCGCTTTCCCATAGAAAGTACAGTGGTACCTCAGGTTAAGTACTTAATTCGTTCTGGAGGTCCGTTCTTAACCTGAAACTGTTCTTAACCTGAAGCACCACTTTAGCTAATGGGGCCTCCTGCTGCTGTCGCGCTGCCAGAGCATGATTTCTGTTCTCATCCTGAAGCAAAGTTCTTAACCTGAAGTACTATTTCTGGCAGAGTCTGTAACCTGAAGTGTATGTAACCTGAAGTGTATGTAACCTGAGGTACCACTGTAATGCAAAACGGATTAATCTGTTCCAGACTTTTAAAAACAATGCCTAAAACAGCAATTTACCATGAATTTTACTACAGTATCTAACAAGACCATTGATCCATAAAATGAAAGCAATAAACAATGTACTGCAGTCACACAATCAATCAAGCTGCTGAACTTGATTGTACACACAATGTACACACAGTCACAAAAAGAAAGAAAAAGAGCCACAAAAACTCAAAATAAATAGCAAAAGCAGACAGACCTCAGAGTAACAATAAAAACGGAAGTGTGGCACTCAAATTGGAAGCGTTAACACTCAAAACGGAGCATGTTTGGCTTCCAAAAAAAGTTCACACACTCGAACACCTACTTCCAGGTTTGCATTGTTTGGGTTCCAAGTTGTTTGAGTACCAAGGCGTTTGAGAACCAAGGTGCCACTGGATATGATAAGCCAGGCTTCCTCAACCTCGGCCCTCCAAATGTTTTGAGACTACAATTCCCATCATCCCTGACCACTGCTCCTGCTAGCTAGGGATGATGGGAGTTGTAGGCCAAAAACACCTGGAGGGCCGAGGCTGAGGAAGCCTGTGATAAGGCATCACCCCCCCTCCCCTCAAAATGGGATCTGTTGGTTTTAAGGGACAGCTTCTTTTTCCTTTTGGCAATGCAAATTGCAGCCGCTGGGGCCCAGTCTAGATGGGGACCACTGTGAGGACCCGAGAGTTAAAACCCTTCTACCCATGCTAGGATCTCAAATTGAATCCGGGACCCTGCGTCTAGGATTTGCAGACTTTCCCACTCTCTCCACAGCCAGCACTGCAGTCGTGGAGGAAGGGGCGGGGCTGAGAAGGAGAGTCCTCGTGGGCCAAGTGGAATGGTCTTGAGGGCCACATGAAGCCCACAAGCTAAGGCTTCCCCATCCCCATCTGAGGTTGATGGGCTTGCATCTAGAGCAGTGTTTTCCAAACTTGGGTCTCCAGCTGTTTTGGGGACTACAGCTCCCATCTTCTCTAGCTAGCAGGATTCCCAGTGGTCAGGGACGATGGGAATTGTAGTCCAAAAAAAACAGCCAAGTTTGAGAAGCCCTGCTTTGAGTCTTTGCATTCAGAAAGTCCGAGCCTTGAAAGGTTTACGTACGACTTAGCTAGCAGACATACAGATGCAGAATGGCTCTCGTTTGAGCTTATTGGAGCCATTCCTTTGTTTTTTCTGCCCCCCCCCCCCCCGCCCGCCTTAATGGGGCCAGATTGCCTTCATAAACTGTAATAAGCTTAGTAGTATGCGTTTCTCCGTAAAGAGGCGAACATGAAATTGCTCTATTAGCCGGCATCACAGACTCCTGAGTTTTCAGATGCCGTTCTAAACAGTTTGCTGCTTTTCCATAAAATGTGACCAGTTTCCCTGCCTGCCTGGATGCTCAAAGCACAGAGCCTCCCTCTAGGGCTTCCTTGGGAAGCAGAAGAGGAGATCAAGCAGAGGTCACATGAATAGCTGTTTATAGATGGTTAACTGGAGCGACAGGAGATGTTAGTGAGAACCCTTCAAAAAATGAAATAATGTATGGCGATTTCAGAAGTTGGATTTTGCTCGCTGGGAAATTTAATCTGGCCTCAGTTGCATCTCGAGGCTGATCAGTTGCATGATCGAGGCTGTGGGGTTAAACCACAGAGCCTAGGACTTGCCGATCAGAAGGTTGGTGGTTCGAATCCCCGCGACGGGGTGAGCTCCCGTTGCTCGGTCCCTGCTCCTGCCAACCTAGCAGTTCGAAAGCACGTCAAAGTGCAAGTAGATAAATAGGTACCGCTCCAGTGGGAAGGTAAACGGTGTTTCCATGGGCTGCTCTGGTTCGCCAGAAGCGGCTTAGTCCTGCTGGCCACATGACCCAGAAACTGTACACCGGCTCCCTCAGCCAATAAAGCTAGATGAGCGCCGCAACCCCAGAGTCAGTCACGACTGGACCTAATGGTCAGAGGTGGTGCTCTGCAGGGATCCTGCCCTGGCATATCACAGAATAACAGAATTGTAGACTTGGGACCATGGAGGTCATCCAGCCCAGCCCCCTGCAATGCCGGAATCTTTTGGCCCAACGTGAAACTTGAACCCAGGAGCCTGAGATTATGAATGTCATGCTCCAGCAAATGAGCTGGATTGTTTTATTTGATGTTTCAATGGGTTTTGTAAACCGCTTTGAGGTTTTTCCTTTAAAATACAGTGGTACCTCGGGTTACATACGCTTCAG